AGCCTGGGGGGCTAGTAGAAAGAAAGCTGCATTCCTACCGTAGTATCCATTCACAAACTATGGGGTCTGCTGGCTTTTCCACGCACATGGTCTGGGCCCCCTGGAAGCGGACTCTCAACTAGGGGAATCCCCGAGACCTGTGGGTGTGGTCCCGAGACCCCGGGTGTGCGCTATATAATTGGGACCACTCCCCATTCCGGTAATTACAAGTCCCAGGGACATGTGACCGTTCATTTCACATGGTATTGGGGGAGAGGACTTAACGGATGCCCTGTAGATCCTGTGCTGGTGAACAGTGGAGTTCCCAGCCTGGACAGGCAAGCTGAGTCTTTCCTCTAGGCTCTGAGCCCTGCAGATGATGCAACCAAGCCCCACTGCTTGCATCAGGGGTCGCGCAGCTCTGTGGGCTAGAAGGAGGTGGAAAAGGAGCAGGCCAGAGGCCTGGATGTGGTTTTTGGCTTCCCTGTCATCAGAACTCCCACCCCTCTTGCCCTGGGACTGCTAAAGATCTACCCTGCTACCTCCATTGTTCTGAAAACCACCTCTAACTAAGCCTGTTGTCTTATAGTCCCTTGCAATTTGACCCCCCCCCCCCCACTGGGATATCAGTTTATGGAGTCCCTACCTAGGGAAGACCCTTTTGTTCCTTTGGGTGGTGAGGCTCTGGAACCACTGGCTTCTAGAAGACAAAATTTAAACTTTGCCCTGTAGCTTTGCAGAGTATTTCATGGGTTGAGGTGGAGGAAGATTCTGAGGTGAGGTGAATGGACTGAATCAGAATCACCCCCTGGACATTGATCTCAACCTTGGCTCTAGAACTGTCTTTTGGAGGTGGGGGTGGTGAAAACTGGAACAGGCAGGCTGGACAGCTCAGCTGGCTTGTTGGGTTTGGAGCCAGAGGGCCTGCTAAACATCACTGATGATTGTTGGGAGACTGTTTATCTGATGTTTTTATTTGACCCTGGCTTTTCCTCCCCTAGCCTCTGCAGAGATATGGTCAGCTGGTCAGGATGGCCATACGGTGCCAGCACAGTGAGGCAGCCCAGACCCAGAATGGAGAAGCAACCAGGGGCTGGACAGGCCAGGAGAGTCTGTCAGACAGTGACCCTGAGATGTGGGAGCTGCTGCAGAAGGAGAAGGACAGGCAGTGTCGCGGCCTGGAACTCATTGCCTCAGAGGTGGGGCCTGGGGAGAGGGGCCGAGGCTGGGGACACCATGGGTGCAGGAAGTGACAGGTCATCTTACTGCTATTTCTACAGATCTCCCTTTCAGACTCAGGGTCTTCCTGCTGGGCCTTACCTCCCTCTCTTCTTACTGTCCTCTGAAGCAAAGGCAGAGCCATTCTGGGTTATGGGATGGGGGCATTAGCGAGCTTCCAGAGCCTTCCAGGGCCCCTACAGTCAAGTCTGGTCCCTCCTCCCTCCCAAGAGAAAAGAGGAGTCTGGAAGCACAGGTATGAGTGGAAGGTGGCCTTGCTGGGAATGTCTATCCTGGCAGCCGGGTTTCTGAGGTTGCTGCCTCTGGCCATGCCCTAAGCCTGGCAAGGAACCCTGAGTGAACAGAGCTTTCTGTAGAGCTCAGCTCCTTGCAGCCCGGGACTCTGGCAGGGTGGGCTGTGGGAGTCCAGGGAAAGGGGCTCAGTACCTTCTGACATTGCCCCCACCCCTCACCCCAGAACTTCTGCAGCCGAGCTGCGCTGGAGGCCCTGGGGTCCTGTCTGAACAACAAGTACTCGGAGGGTTATCCTGGCAAGAGGTGAGGGTGAGGCACCAGAGGACTGGAGGGCAGCTTCAGGGATGCTGCTCCCGCTGGGGGGCACCTGCCTGTACTCTCCCACTGCATTTAGAGAAGTAGCCTTCCTGGTCCTTTGCCATTGGTCAAGGGACATGGTGGAAACCCTTCTCTGTGCCCTGATATGCCCCCTCCTGTGCAGATATTATGGGGGAGCAGAGGTAGTGGATGAAATCGAGCTGCTGTGTCAGCGCCGGGCCTTGGAGGCCTTTGACCTGGATCCTGCACAGTGGGGAGTCAATGTCCAGCCTTATTCGGGGTCCCCGGCTAATTTGGCTGCCTACACAGCCCTTCTGCAGCCTCACGACCGAATCATGGGGCTGGACCTGCCCGATGGGGGCCAGTGAGTATGGATGGGGTGGCCGATGGGCTCAGTGGGCAGCATGGGCATAAGAGAGGAGTCATTTATTGAACACCTAATATGTGCAATGCAGATGGAGCAGGCCTCCCTGTGTCCTTCAAATTATGGTGCAGGAAGAAGATGAGACCCCAGTAACAGCACTCAGCACAGAGTGGACAGAGCGATGAGGGTGGTCCATGCTAGGAGCAGTTTTCCAGAGGAGGCCTTTGGAGCAGACCAGGAAAGGAGCGGTTAAGTCTGGGTGTCACTCTACTTAGAAGCCTTCTTACTTCCTCTCCTTCCCTCCCAGTCTTACCCATGGCTATATGTCTGATGTCAAGCGGATTTCGGCCACATCCATCTTCTTTGAGTCTATGCCCTACAAACTGAACGTAAGTGAGTGCTCTAGTGTGTGGGGAGCGAGCTGCGCAGGGCCTGGGAATCTTCTCCTGGGAAAAGGAGGGGCTGAGCCTTGGACCGCCCTCAGGGTCAAGGAGGAGAGTGAGTTGCCCTGCTTCCTTCTAAGGGCTTTAGTTTTCTGTCTCTGTCCAGCCCCAAACCGGCCTCATTGACTATGACCAGCTGGCAATCACTGCTCGGCTTTTCCGACCGAGGCTCATCATAGCTGGCACCAGCGCCTATGCCCGCCTCATTGATTACGCCCGCATGAGAGAGGTCAGTGGAGGCTGGAGTGCCTGCCATTCCCCGAGGGGTAGTTGGGAGACTGTGGGGGAAGGGACTGCCCCAGGCAGGCCTGTCTGGGCCCTGCCCAGACTGAGGCCTGTTTCTGTCCCTGCCCAGGTGTGTGATGAGGTCAAGGCATACCTGCTGGCGGACATGGCCCACATCAGTGGCCTGGTGGCTGGCAAAGTGATCCCCTCACCTTTCAAGCATGCAGATGTCGTCACCACTACCACTCACAAGACCCTTCGAGGGGCCAGGTCAGGCTCCCCTGAGATCGGGCCTTGCCTGTCGCTGTCTTCGTGTCCTGTTTCCAGGGCACTGTTGGGCTGGATCTGAAAGGAACTCATTCTGCCTGAAGGGTTCTACCCAGTCTGAGGATTCTTTTTCTCGGCCTTGGTGGCAATTCCCCAACAGGGGTTTTTGGGGGTGGGAAGGTGGGTCTGCTCCCCTAGACCACTGGCGTCAGGCACACCCAGCACAACTGAGCACAACTCAGGGGCCCAGGCCGGCCAGCTTCCTCTGCTCTTCCCACTCCTTACCCCTTCTCTTCAGCTTAGATTCTACCACCCTCCTCCCATGCAGGTCAGGACTCATCTTTTACCGGAAGGGGGTACGGTCTGTGGACCCCAAGACTGGCCGGGAGATCCCTTATACATTTGAGGACCGTATCAACTTTGCTGTGTTCCCGTCCCTGCAGGGGGGCCCCCACAACCATGCCATCGCTGCAGTGGCTGTGGCCCTAAAGCAGGTGGGGGAGCCTCCTCTTGCGGGGAGGCACCTGGTCACTCAGGCCCTGTACCTCGCTGACTGGAGTTGGAGCTGTTGGGAGGGAGGGTAGGGGTCATGGCTGGGGCCACAGCGATGCTGGAGGTGGAAGAGTAGGAGGGCAGGACTTGGGGTCCCAAGTGCCACTGTCTCATCTGCAGGCCAGCACCCCCATGTTCCGGGAGTACTCCCTGCAGGTTCTGAAGAACGCTCGGGCCATGGCCGATGCCCTGCTGGATCGAGGCTACTCGCTGGTGTCTGGTGAGCCACAGGGTTGGGTGAGAGTCTCTGTAGCCTCAGGCAGAGGCCCAGGGCTCACCATCCACTTACTGTCCTCCCGCCTTAGGTGGCACTGACAACCACCTGGTGCTGGTGGACCTACGGCCCAAGGGCCTGGACGGGGCACGGACCGAGCGGGTGCTGGAGCTTGTGTCCATCACGGCCAACAAGAACACCTGTCCTGGAGATCGCAGTGCCATCACCCCAGGGGGCCTTCGGCTTGGTGAGACCCCAGGTTCCAAGAGTGAGGGTGGCTGCCAGGTGGGCTTGGGCCATGCTGATCCTCTTCTGCCTGTCTCTCAGGTGCCCCAGCCTTGACCTCTCGACAGTTTCGTGAGGATGACTTCCGGAGAGTTGTGGAGTTCATAGATGAAGGGGTCAAAATCGGTTTGGAGGTGAAGAGCAAGACTGGTGAGCAGGCCGGACGCCCCTTGCTCCAGCCCAGCCGGTTGCGCTCCCTGCCTTCCCTTGAGCTCTGACCACCTTTCCTCTCCCCTCTCTAGCCAAACTGCAGGATTTCAAATCCTTCCTGCTCAGTGACCCAGAGACAAGACAGCGGCTGGCTGACCTCAGGCAACGGGTGGAACAGTTTGCCAGGGCCTTCCCCATGCCTGGCTTTGATGAACACTGAAGACACCAAGGAAATGAGGCTCATAGACTGAAATTACTCTCTTCCTCTGCCTGGACCAGTGGAGGGGGTCACCTGTCTTCCAATTTTTTGCTGGAGGAAGGAAGGCCTCTTACTTAGGGGAAGAGCCAGGCATAGTTCCCTCCCCAGAATTTGTAGCCGAAATTTCTTTTTGTAAGAAGACTTAGAAGAAGGAGGCTGGGGGCTTTCTGTCCCCAACATTCCCATTATCTCAGTGTTACAGGCCCCCTGCCCTTTCTTGAGAATGGGGGAGTTACCCATGAGCCAGAGAAAGGTTGGGTAAGCACCCTCCTTTCTGTTTTTAATCTAATAAAATGCTAACCTGACCCAAGATTCTGTTGCTGTGGGAGGGCCCCAGGGCCGGGCAGTGATTTGTCCCCCTCCATGTATTCCACCCTTCCCTCCCACCACCACCACAAGGGCCCCGGAGGCTGCAGCCTCCTCCGTCTGTGATCAGAGCCGACACCAGACGTGATTAGCAGGCGCAGCAAATTCAATTTGTTAAATGAAATTGTATTTTGCCCACGGCTGCTTCTGTTTGATCCCAGGGGATGGAGGGGAGCAAGGAGGGGAGGGATGGCAGGGGGAGGCCCAGGTGTGAGGCTGGAGGGGGTGCTGGTTGGCTCCACAAGCACAGGGGAGGAGCACACTTTTCCTCCCTGGGCATAGAGGTGCCTCATCCAGAGCAGGCTGGGCAGCAGGCAGCGAGCCCAATCGAGCTAGAGCAGCGCCTCCCTGGGATGGAGCCCAGAATCTGGGCTAACGTGGGGCCAGCCACGTAGCTTGGCACTCAGAGGCCCCTGCTTGCTCTTGGCTCACCTCTGCCACGCTCAACACGTAGCCTGTGCCACACCCTACAAGGCACCCGTAGCCCAGCGGAGGGGCCAGCTTGAGCCTTTTGGACCCACCCAGCTGCTGCCCCACCTCTTAAACCCCCGCCCCCCAGCCGCGTGGGACTCAAGCTGAGGGTCAGAGGTGCTTCCGCTGCAGGGAGCAAGGGAAGAGTGTGGGGGTGGAGCTGTCTCCCCTCCTCGTGGGAACGGGGACTTTGTACTCAGGGGCTGGATAGGGTGGCCAGAGTGGCACCCTGGGGGTGGCGTGGGGGCATCGGGTACAGGAGGAAATGAGGCTGGCTGAAGTTGCTGTATGTACATCGATGTGCCCCAGCCGGGCTCAGAAATCTGGCCGGTCCTTCTTCAGCTTTTTGTAGTCCGTGGAAACTGCAAGGAACTAGGGAAGTGGGAGGGGGTTGCAATGAGTCCCCCAGGTCTCTCTGGGTGCAGAGGGCCATCCCAGGGACCGAGAGTTGCGAGGGTAGAGGTGCAACCCTAGAGCCAGCGTGGGTACCTTGTACTGGTCGTTGGGGCTCAGGCGGTTCCAGGGCTCCGGGTTGTTCTTTCTGTCCCAGCTGTGAAGAGGGAGGGTTCGGGTTTCCTCTCTGGGAACTAGGGCTCTAGAGCCTAAGGCAGCACCCAGAGTCTCTTTCTCTACCCCAGCACCCCCAGTCCTGCCCTGTCCTACCCTGGGGAGGTCCATTTCCCTGAGACTGACAGGGAAGGAGCGTGTTAGCGGTTGCTGACAAAATAAGAAGGCTGTCACCATTTTCAGATGACAGATGAGGGATTGACAGCCTGGCCCGGGGACTCCCACTGCCCCTTGCCACCCTCGATCAAGCCAGCAGAGTAGAGCAGTGGGAATCAGGCAAAGATCCCCAGGGGCTGGGGTTTCTGTGAAGGGCCCCGGACTCCACCAAGGAAGGGCTGCTCCAGACAGGAGCCCCCGCCCCTCACTCCGCTGCCTCTGGCCTGGCAATAGAGTCTCCTGGTCACCCCGGCCCCGAAGGTGCCCCCAGATGCTCAGCTGGCTACACCCCCAGCACTCCAGCGTGGATATTGAGGTACCCAAAGGCCGCTGGCCGCCGGCAGAGTGGCGTCGCCTTGGCAACCGGGTGGGGGAGCCAGGCTTGGTTGGCAGCCCGAAGTGGGCCGAGTCTGCAGCCACAGAGGAGAGTGAGGTCGGGTGGGCCGAAGGGAAATGAGCTCTCGAAGGTTAGGAGGGTGTTCCAGCCCGACGATGCCGGGCGGGGCAGGGCAGGGGCAGGTGTGTTGCAGGCGGGTCCCCGCCTGGCACCCATTCCCACCTAGCACCCATTCCCACCATTCCTGAGAGGCCCACTCGTTCCTGACCCTTCTCGCCCCGTCCAGGACCCACGCCAGCATCCCAAGCCCGGCCTTTACCAGACGTCCGGGCTGCGCAGGGCCAGCCGCAGCAAGTAGAGAGCAGCGCTGCCCATGCCCAGGCCAATGAAGCCAATCATCGGGATGAGCTGCGGGGAAGACCGAGGACACTTTCAGAGTCGGCCCCCTCCCCGGAGTCCCCAGTGGCCCGTTACAGGATTTTCTGCCCAGCCGCCCTCAGCCCCGCTGGGGGACTGGCGCCCCCGCCGTTCTGGGAGAGGGGAGCTCGCACCTCATATACCACAGCTCCTACCTTCGTCCCCCCAACCCCACTGCGAACCTGTGGGGGGGGGGTCAAGGGGCACGGGTGCCTATTGCAGGGAGAGTTGAGGGCACCCTGGAAAAAGGTTAGCAGCATTGGGGAAACTAGGCAGTAGGAGGAGACTAAGATTTGGGGACTGCTTGGTCAGCGAGAAAGTTAAGAGCCAGAATCAGTGACTCTGGAGGCCCAACTCACAGCAGGATGTCTCTTGATCTGGCGGTAGAGACGCGTCCCGAGACTGGTTCCCGCCATATCACCTCTCCAGCCTCTGGTCCTCTCCCGCGGCTCCGCTCTGCTCCCTTGATCCTCCTGGGGTCCCGCCCCACGCCGGGGAGGGGTCAGCCCGGCCCGGCCCGGCCCACCCCAACCCCACCCATTTCTTTTCCTCCCTCAGTTCCAGGCTCGGAGCTGGAAGAACTGCTGGAGACGGGAGGGACTTCTGTTCCTCCACTCTTTCCTACAAATGCCCGAATCCTGGCCCATGGAACACCATCATACTTGAGGCTTTGGGCTGGTCCGAGGGGGAAGCCTCACAGGCTTTGACCCAGATTGATTGACACAGGATTCAGAAGCGGGAGAAGGACTCGCCGTGAGACGGGCTGGCAGACAGACCTCCGTTAAGTGCAGATGTGAATGTTCACGCGCGGCGCCAGGAGGGGCGAGGGGGAGAGTGAGGGCATCAGCGCTGCTGCCCTGACGACCCTGGAGCAGCGACTTTCAAACGCCGTGTTGTGGCACGCTGGTGTGCCACATTTTTTTTTTCTTTTCTTTTGTTCCTTTTTTTTTTTTTTTTGGACTTATGCTGCAAGAATGTTTAAAACATGCAATACCTGACTGGTTAGGGGGTTTGAGCTCTTTTCCCGTAGATTGTCAAGTAAAAACAATGACAACAGCCAACACAACAATAGCCGTCTAGTGTGAATTAATCAAAATGGTACCTATTTTTTTTGTCAGATCAGCAAAAAAATATATTATTTGGTGAGCTGCAGAATTTTCATAATTAGTTATGTGTGCCATGAGATGTAAAGGTTGAAAAATGGCTGTTCTAGAGCATCCGGGAGCTAGCAGGACTCCCTGGTTCTGTCCCCACCACAGTGCAGGGGAAGGAGGAGGGAGACAGGCAGCCCAGCAGAACTAAAGCTGCCCCAGCCCCTCTTGTCCTGAGTGGTTTCACCAAGTTGCGTTGTGGTTGACCTGGAGCAGTCAATGGAGGCTGAGGGGACTCAGGGATATCTTAAACCTGGCTTGGTACAGAGTAAATCTTGAGAAATTTGCTGGCCCTGCCTATCTTGGATAGGGATGAAGGTGGGGCCACCCAAGAAGGCCACTCTGCCTCTGGCTGTGATGGAGAGGAGGAGAATGGGGTGAGGAAAACAGTTAAGGAAAGATAGACAAGATGTTGGAGGAGGAAAGAGAACAAGACACACAGAAACGGGTGGGGGGCAAATGATAGATTGCCACCCTTTCTGCAGCGAAACCAGGTGTATGCAATGCTGCCAGGGTGAGAAGGCTCACTGACTGGTCTTTGGGGAACTGGGTTCCAGGGACCCAGAAGCCCCCCCTAACCACTTCTCCCAGTCCCACGCTAACCTCTCCTCTATCTCTCCCTGCCGCCCCCTGGGCAGCCGGATCCTGCAGCAGCTCCCCAATTCCTCCCCTCCAGATCTCTGCGGCGGCTTGGGCAGGAGTGAACTGTGCACCCACCGCTGGGACACTCTGAGTACAGGGAGGGAAGGGGCCCTACCTGGGGGGTTCCTCCCTTTCCCTGGCGCTGATATGGGCCGGGTCCCCTGCTCTGACAATTGCGGCTGTCATTAGGCTGCGGAGTCCCAGGTTCTCCGCCTCCCTCCGGCGGATAATGAGGTAAAGTGTCAGAGACAGGGCGAAAACAAAGAGACAGAGACTTGCTACAAGGCGCGTGTGGGGTGGGGGAGGAGGACTGAGGGATGTCAGAACCCAGAGCTGCGCAGAGTCGGGCCCTCCCTGAACACTCACTACAGCGGCCGTGGAGTAGGGTGTCCTATTACCCGTATGCCCCAGCACTCCTGACTGTGGGACTAAAAATCAATCCTGGAACTCGAGCTCGAGGGGCCACACAGTCGGGCTGCACATCTGGCTCTATATGGCACAGTTGGTGCACCAGGACCCTGACAGGGACTTCTGGCCCCTGCGCTGCCGCCCATTTGCTTCTCAGGCCCTGGCCTGGTGTCCTGTGTCCTTTCTTGTGAGTTCCGACCTAGCACGTCCCGGACCCTCAGCCCCACTCCTTTTCTGGAGTCGCTGCCTCCGACCCTCCAGCCTCTGGCCTCATCTCCACTCTCCAATGATTGCTTCTGCTCTGGCTTCTCTGGGGCTCCTTGACCTTTCACCTGCTTCTGGTGTCAGTCTCTGATCCCTTCTTTGTGGCCCTATTTCTAAGCCTCGTCCCATCTCTGGATCAAGATCTCTAGGGCCGAGCTGGGACACAACTTTTGGGTTCCAGATCCCATCTCTCCCCTCACTTTCCCACCAGAAGGACTCAGGCCAAGCTGACCTAGCGGGTGAGGGACTGCAGAAGTCATTAACTGTGGATTAGGCATGGCCAGGGGTGGGCGGGCGTCCCACCGGGACCGGACTCTGAACGTTGCACCGCACAGGACACTGCTCCGCGTGCAGGCTGCGCCTCGGGTCAAAAGAAGCTGGACTCCGAGCTGCGAGCTGACTGCAGGGGCCGTGGGCGCGGACGCCCCCTGGAGGCGGAGCTGCTCTTAAGCGCTCAGGGGAGATGCCTCGGTCGCCCCCTGTTGGGCCGCGTCGGCTCTGCGCCCCACGGCTTTTCAGCAGGTAAGTCAGCGCCTAGAGTGTGGGTCCCCGCCGGGTCCGCAGTTCCCGCCGCTCCCGCAGCCAAGGCACTGGATCCCGCGGTGGGCCGGAGAGAAGACGCGGAAGCTCCCGCCTCGCCAGCCCCAGGCACCCGAGGTTCAGACAGTCCTCTCGTGAGGCTGGGCAGCCGCAGATGCCCAGGTTCCATCTCTGCCAAGAGACTTCCCTCTTCCCCTGCCTGTCCTAGTCTCTGGCTGCCTTTATCTTCCTCAGGCCCTGTCTGTCTGTCCCTGTCTATCTCTGTGTCTCTGTGTCTGTCTGTTCCTTATCATTCTGGCTGTGTCTGTCTGTCTCTCTCTCTCTCTCTCTGCAGCTCTCTACCTGGCTTTGTCCTTCTGCTTCTGTTTCTCTGTGTCTCTCCGTTGACTCTCCTTCACTCTACTTCTCTGTCACTGCCTTTATCTGTCTCTTCCTCCTCCCATTCACCAGCTCTAGTCCTATTCTCCGCCTTGCTGCTCCTGGGGGGCTGTAGCAGTCCAATGGGACAGCCTGGGGACACCTCGGGGCATTGCCTGGTGTCCCCTTCCCAGTCACCTCCACATGCCCGTCACCTCGGCACGGCCTCCATCTTCCCTCTGCAGCTGTGGGGAGTGCGTGGAGGATACTCAGGAGGGAAGACACAGTGCCCAGTATCTATCTGCTCGGGAGCCCTGGGGCCCCTGACCCTCTCTGCCGCTATTAAGGGCGCCGGGTCCCAAGGCTCTGAGAGGATCATGATTGCATCAGCCAAACAGCCGAGGAGCCGGCAGCCGCTCGGAGAGTGAACGAGCGAGCAAGACAAAGACGCCCGCGCCATCTGTTTATGCAAAGCGCTCTCCACCGGGAACCCTGGCGTCCCGATGCTTGGCCCGGCTCGGGGCACAGGGTCATGAACCCGCTCCTGCCTGGCGCCCCCTCTGCGCCACGGCTTACCCCCTCGCAGCACCCAGAGGGGCTGCGGGGCGAGCGGAACGGAGGGGGGCGGGGGTGTTGATGTGATTGGAGCGGACGCGGCTGTTTCTTCAATAATGGATGGAGATGATGCGGACGGCGGAGCCAAGCCCGCCCGGAGAGGAGAGAGGAATAGAAATAGGGAGAGGAAGTGGCGGGGGCGGCAGGCGCAGCCAGGCGCCCTGCGCACGCACACATACACACACCAGCGCGCGTGCGTCACACTGTCATTCGACTACACGCCGCTGTGCAGTTCACACCCAGGCACACGCCCACACACTGTCACAGAAACACACACCTGCAGGTGGAGATGCCAGAGCAACACACCAGAGGCTCTTCCTGATCTCTCACACAGTCCTGCACACGGAGACCCACAGAAATGCCTACACACGGGGCACATCCAGGTGTGAAGAATGCACAGACACGGCAAAGCACACATGCACACTTAGACACCCAGGGGCTTAGACAGACAAAAATCATAGAGTGTGGGAGCGGGTACAGTATGGTGACAAGACCTACAGATACACAACAGGGACACACCCCAACATATACACACCTCACACATTTGGGGCACAGACACTCATGCTACACACCAGAGGCATAGACACCTATAATTGCCAGGGGCACAGAGAGACCCACTCGCCCACGCACAGATACCCACACATAGGTAGGAGCTGCTGCCTGTGCCCTGCGGTGGTGGAGTGTGGCAGAGAAGTCGCTGGGGTCCCTGCTAGCACGTCTTGTTAGCCTAGCCATATAATGATGTCCTGACGACAGGAGGCGCCTGGGGCTGTTGACCCTTCACCCTATTTGACTGCCTGCAAGCTTCCTTTCTGGGCGCGCGGGGCAGGCGGGTGGTGCAGACTTTGGGTCACCCTGGCTTCATCCAACCGAGCCAACCCCAACCCCAGCAAGAGCGGGGAAGAGCGGGGAAGAGCGGGAGCCATAGAGAGCCAGTCGCAGCTGCATAGGAAGTCTTTCAGGATCCCTAACACTTCCAGGAGGCAAGGGGTGGGCGACAGGGTCACTCCGTATCCCCCTCACCCCCTGTGCTGCCCTATCTTCTGACACAAGGGGCACTTTTCTCGCTAAGAGTTGGGCGGGCACTGAGGAAGAGTAGGGTGCAGATTGTGCCCGGGACCCTAGTAACCGGCCCCTCCTCCCGTCTGTTTTTGATGCAGTCCGCTCCTTGGCCCGGACTTATGACCTTTGCAGCGTGAGGCAGCATCATCCATCACCCAGGCGGCCGCTTTCCGGAGTAGGGGTGTTGGGGCTCACACAGGGTCGCTGTCTTCCCAACGCCTTCTCTTGAGACCAGCTCTTCGCCAGCAGGCCGGGGCTCAACCAGCAGGCAGCTACTGGGGGCGGGGTGGGGAGGGCACGACCATGGGGCTCAGTCGCGATACTGGGCCTTGTAGCCCCACCCCTGGCACCCCAGCACCCGCCCTTCCAGCTCAGCACAGCCAGGCCTCCCGCTCCTCCTGCCCTCCCTCTCGGGCCCTTTGCTTAATT